CGCAAACGGGGTAATGTTCCAGTGTAAGGATGTCAGACCAGAGAAAAAGGATGTGGACCTTTCATTACCAGTGCATGTGACCTCATATACAGGGAGGAATCAGAAAATCTCATAGGAAAATAAAGCTTTAAGGAGCTTTGAAGGGGGATCCATGACATTGTCTTGGCCCCAGTGTAGAAGATGGAGTAAACCTGTCTGTGGAGAGGCTTAATCCAAGGAGGTTTGAAGGTGCTGGAAAAAAAGAAGCTACACAGAAATGGACAGAAGTGTGGCAAAATCTGGGAAACTGCAACTGAACGTGTTACCCTAATCAGGGAATCATAGAATTGCCTGGGTTGGAAGGACCTGTAGGATCATCTAGTTCAACCATCAACCTAACTGATAAAAACCATCACCAAACCATGTCTCTAAGCGCTACGTCAACCTGTCTTTTGAACACCTCCAGGGATGGTGCCTCAACCCCTTCCCTGGGCAGCCCATTCCAAGGCTTCATAACCCTTTCAGTGGAAAAATTTTTCCTAATATCCAATCTAAACCTCCCCTGCTGCAACTCGAGGCCGTTTCCTCTTGTCCCATCGCCTGTTCCTTGGGAGAAGAGACCGACCTCCCCTGGCTACCCCCTCCTTTCAGGGAGTTGGAGAGACCGAGAAGGTGTCTCCTCAGCCTCCTTTTCTCCAGGCTGAACACCCACAGCTCCCTCAGCCCATGCCATTTATATAGCCCGTGGCATGATCTGTGCCATTGCAATGGGATTTCCTCTCCCTTCAGAGTGAGAGTTAAGATTTGCAGAGAGCGCGAAGGTCTGGAGCAGAGCTGAGCCATAGCAAGGCCCCTTGGTGCTGAGACTTTACTCTTTCTTCATGACTCTCAAACACCAGAGTTGGCTTTAGGTTAATCCTACCCCCTGTCTCCTGCTTGCTGCAGGGCTCACCTTTTCTCCTGCCCTTGTTCCTGTTGGATTTCAGTCGTTGGCTGGTCCCATGGCAGTAGGGTATGGCTGAGGTGTGCCCACCATTCTTGCATCACTACAGACAAGTGAGAATTGCTAAAATGGAAGTGGTGCATGATGATGGGTTTTCTAAAATAGATGCCCTCAGTTGTCTAGTTTACAAGCAACGTTTCAGGGGATGGGGAAAAGGGATAAGGTCTGTCTCTTAACCAGTATTTGCCCTGTTGGTCTGCTCCCACTTTGCAAGTAGGAATTTTACCCTTATTTACGTAAGCTGCGTTCAGGTGCCCCTGAATGTGACTCCCCTCCCTCTGTGTCAGCCAAAGGTATTTAAGCAGAGTACACAACTAGGTGGTATCTTAATTTTATGCTTGGTAGCTTCCAAAAAACTCAAAAGGGGCTAAAGAAAGTTTGTGTTTGTTGTTTGTTTTGGAGGGCAGGGTGAAGGGTAGGTGAGAGATGTTGACCTTGCAAGTAACATTTAGAGAGGTAGGGTTACAATTCGTGTTTATAGCTACCCAATGCCAGCTTGCTCAATAAAAACCCTGTTAGGTTTCCAAAAGTAATCAGGAAACCCAAGGTAGTGTTGGGAGAGGGAAGGGAAACCGGCTGCTTTTTATAGATCAGGTTGCAAGCAAACTTGTGTTACGGTGTTATTTATTACTGGGGGACGGTGGGGGGTGTTAGGTGTAAGCAGACCCATGCCTCGCAGATGATAGCTGGAAGTCTCTTCTAGTATGTGGGCTAAATGGATGAGTGGCAGCTCGGTCATTTTAAGAAATGATCCCTTCCCTTTGCTATGGTGTTATGTTCTCCATCCCCCAGCCCAGGCGGTCCGTGGCAGCCAGCGCTTACTTCTAGCAATGCTTATTGTGCAAAGCTTCAAAACAGCACGTAGCCACCCCATCTGCTGCAATGCAAGACCCACGGGCTGCTCGGGGGGGGAAAGCTGTCTGTCCGTAAGGTCAGAGAATAGTTTATGGTGTCCCTATCAGGGTATATTGGAGTGCAACTTCTGGAACTGCACCAATAAATACAAATACTGTATTTGAGCCGCAATTACTGCACTGTAGCAGCGCTGCTTAAATGTGTAACAACACATCTATGGGGGGGAGCGTGGAATTACACAGCTCATTCACTACACAGGTAGGAAAAATTGCTCTCCTCGTGTGTCTCCTCTATGGCTCAGCTGGGATTTATTGTCATAACTAAATAATTTTGTACCAACAAGTAGCCATTTTCTCCCACTGTAACTTTAAACACTGATTTGGAGGTGGAAAGGCAGCCCTGAGATCCCTGTGGCTGTTTCTCTAACCTGTGTTTCCTTCCAGCATGGCAGGCAGATTCCTGGGTTAGTCTGGAATTCCCAGTCCCCTCTGCTCCCAGCAGCAGCCCAGGGGATGGTGACAACCTCCATGGCTGCTCTCTGAGTCCTGCCCACCAACAGACAGTGAGAAACTCCTCCTTTTCCCTGGGATGGGAACTTTGTCTCCTGCTATCTCCCTGTTTTCATTTTTCCTTCCGCAATAGTAGATATCCATAGTGGAAACAAATCTGTGAGGGGTTGGAGGCATCTCAGCAGCCTTCCTGGGGGGAGCAGCCTTCTTGGCACAAAGAGCGTGTCAGGACTGAATGGAGATGTAGCTGGTGCTGGCAGGAGCTGGGCTTTGTCCTTGGGCTACAAACAGGGTCTTGCAAGTGCTTCTATAGGTTGTAAAGGGAGGGCTTGGTCTTTGGGCTGGGACTTGGGCTCCGCCGTTCAGTTTTGGTACTGCCCCTGCAGCTGCTTCACAGCTTTCAAGAGCAACAGCCCATCTTTGGGCAGCAAAAACCTTCTTGAAGCCAAGTATTGGTGTTTCTTGCCTTAATTTCTCAATCTGTTGGTCGACTGTCGGCTGAACAGGAGCCGGCAGTGTGCCCAGGTGGCCAAGAAGGCCAACAGCATCCTGGCCTGGGTCAGGAACAGCGTGGGGAGTAGGGCCCGAGAGGTGATCGTCCCCCTGTCCTGGGCACTGGTGAGCCCCTCAAGGGCTGTGTCCAGTTTTGGGCCCCCTACCATAAAAAAGACATCGAGGTGCTGGAGTGGGTCCAGAGAAGGGCAACAAAGATGGTGAGGGGTCTGGAGAAAAGGAGGCTGAGGGGAGACCTTATTGCTCTCTACAACTCCCTGAAAGGAGGGTGTAGAGAGATGGGGGTTGGTCTCTTCTCTCAAGTCACAGGCGACAGGACGAGAGGAAATGGCCTCAAGTTACGCCAGGGGAGGTTCAGGCTGGATATTAGGAAAAATTTTTTCACCGAAAGGGTTCTCAGCCATTGGAATGGGCTGCCCAGGGAGGTGGTTGAGGCACCATCCCTGGAGGTGTTCAAAAGACAGGTTGATGTAGTGCTGGGAGATATGGTTTAGTGATGGTGATGCTTCTTGTTTGTTGTGTGGGTGTCTATTTTTGTCAGTCAGGTTGATGGTTGAACAAGATGATCTTTAAGGTCCCTTCCAACCTAGAAGATTCTGTGATTATCTCCTTTCCCTATCCACAAAGCAGGATAAATGTCCTTCTATCTTCACCCTTTCCAGCTGTGTCTGGTCGAGGAGGTTGCTTGTGGGCCACTCAGAGCTTTGCACAGGGGACACATTTTGCCAGGGTGTCATCCTCCAGCGTGGTTCTCGGGCATCCCCGGCGAGCTGAGAACGCAGCTGGCTTGGGGACGGGGTTCTCGCAGGGCTGCTGTTGTCGCCGGGTGGGTTAGGATTTGTTTGTGTGTTTTCCCCTTCTTTCTAATTATGCTGATATTTCCTACTCAACAGCTGTAGTCTGGGAAGGAGAGCGGGGAGCGCCGGCTCCGCAGCTGACAACCGCCTTGTGCCTTGGCTGCGTGTCAGCACGGGGCTGGTGCTGGCTGGGCTACAGCCACGCAGCCCTTGCCTCCAGTTGACCAAAAGGTTGTTTGGAGTCACCCCCAAGGTAGCCCCCTAAATAAATAAATAAAGTATTTTCCTGGTTTCAGTGGCAGGAACTACCTGGCGACCCACTGAGAATTTGTGAGAAGGACTTCTCCGAGGAGTGAATGGGATCTGCTGTAGGGCAAAGCTCCCCCCAGATGAACACTTGGGTGATTTTGGGGTAGATGATGCTCCCCTGACTCCTGCTCCTGGATTGTCTCTTGTGTGTCAGTCTGTGTTCCATTGTTTTCGTATTGGTGATGTATCTTACCAATTTTTAACACTGAAAAAAGCCCACCTCTTTCTATCACGATCATCACCTGTGTCCAGATGCTTTTTGACAGTTATTTACAGGATAAGTTGTGTGATTAAGAAGCCAATTCAAATCACTCTTCTTTTTGCTCCATTAGTATGCTTTAAAAATAAAGCACTACTTAGTATGCACAGAGTGATCTCACAGACTTAGGTTCTGTTTTCAGTGTTTAACCAAAACATTGAATTACTTTTACCTTTGTGATACTGTTAGGATTATTTTTAATTAAGTGAAGTGTTTTAACATGCTCTAATTTGTTTTTCAGCAAACGTCTAACACTTGATAGAGAGGGGCTGGTTCTGGGAACAAGACGTGCTCTGTCTTGCCTCATTTACCTGAGAGTTGGGTAAATACTCCTTGAGGACCTGGGAAGGAGAGGTTATTGATGAATTACCTCCTGTTATAGACATGTGCAGATCCCAGAATACTTGTGTGTGTACTGCAGGGAGGAGAGGATGTGTACAGGTTAAATGCTCTGATACCGAGTTGTGCTGTAGGAGCAGCTTATTCCCTCAATAAACAGCACAAAAAGCAGAGGCTGAATCCGAGCAAGTCATTAGCTCAACTCATTCTTACTCCCTGATGTACTCTCAGCCTACTTTTAAGGTTATACTCAAGCCTGAATATATATTTCCCTGGAAAAACATCCCATAAATAATAAACTATTTCTTCACCGAAACAACATTGCACAAGCAGTTCTGTACTTCTTAAAACAAGGCAACTGGTGAACTCGTGAGGGGTCAAATCCACTGCAGAACAACCTGTACCTGGCTCTTTCTGCCAGGCTTGTGAAGGCTGGCATGGCACAGAAGACTGGCCTGGGCCATACGGTGACCAAGTACCGCAAACGGGGTAATGTTCCAGTGTAAGGATGTCAGACCAGAGAAAAAGGATGTGGACCTTTCATTACCAGTGCATGTGACCTCATATACAGGGAGGAATCAGAAAATCTCATAGGAAAATAAAGCTTTAAGGAGCTTTGAAGGGGGATCCATGACATTGTCTTGGCCCCAGTGTAGAAGATGGAGTAAACCTGTCTGTGGAGAGGCTTAATCCAAGGAGGTTTGAAGGTGCTGGAAAAAAAGAAGCTACACAGAAATGGACAGAAGTGTGGCAAAATCTGGGAAACTGCAACTGAACGTGTTACCCTAATCAGGGAATCATAGAATTGCCTGGGTTGGAAGGACCTGTAGGATCATCTAGTTCAACCATCAACCTAACTGATAAAAACCATCACCAAACCATGTCTCTAAGCGCTACGTCAACCTGTCTTTTGAACACCTCCAGGGATGGTGCCTCAACCCCTTCCCTGGGCAGCCCATTCCAAGGCTTCATAACCCTTTCAGTGGAAAAATTTTTCCTAATATCCAATCTAAACCTCCCCTGCTGCAACTCGAGGCCGTTTCCTCTTGTCCCATCGCCTGTTCCTTGGGAGAAGAGACCGACCTCCCCTGGCTACCCCCTCCTTTCAGGGAGTTGGAGAGACCGAGAAGGTGTCTCCTCAGCCTCGTTTTCTCCAGGCTGAACACCCACAGCTCCCTCAGCCCATGCCATTTATATAGCCCGTGGCATGATCTGTGCCATTGCAATGGGATTTCCTCTCCCTTCAGAGTGAGAGTTAAGATTTGCAGAGAGCGCGAAGGTCTGGAGCAGAGCTGAGCCATAGCAAGGCCCCTTGGTGCTGAGACTTTACTCTTTCTTCATGACTCTCAAACACCAGAGTTGGCTTTAGGTTAATCCTACCCCCTGTCTCCTGCTTGCTGCAGGGCTCACCTTTTCTCCTGCCCTTGTTCCTGTTGGATTTCAGTCGTTGGCTGGTCCCATGGCAGTAGGGTATGGCTGAGGTGTGCCCACCATTCTTGCATCACTACAGACAAGTGAGAATTGCTAAAATGGAAGTGGTGCATGATGATGGGTTTTCTAAAATAGATGCCCTCAGTTGTCTAGTTTACAAGCAACGTTTCAGGGGATGGGGAAAAGGGATAAGGTCTGTCTCTTAACCAGTATTTGCCCTGTTGGTCTGCTCCCACTTTGCAAGTAGGAATTTTACCCTTATTTACGTAAGCTGCGTTCAGGTGCCCCTGAATGTGACTCCCCTCCCTCTGTGTCAGCCAAAGGTATTTAAGCAGAGTACACAACTAGGTGGTATCTTAATTTTATGCTTGGTAGCTTCCAAAAAACTCAAAAGGGGCTAAAGAAAGTTTGTGTTTGTTGTTTGTTTTGGAGGGCAGGGTGAAGGGTAGGTGAGAGATGTTGACCTTGCAAGTAACATTTAGAGAGGTAGGGTTACAATTCGTGTTTATAGCTACCCAATGCCAGCTTGCTCAATAAAAACCCTGTTAGGTTTCCAAAAGTAATCAGGAAACCCAAGGTAGTGTTGGGAGAGGGAAGGGAAACCGGCTGCTTTTTATAGATCAGGTTGCAAGCAAACTTGTGTTACGGTGTTATTTATTACTGGGGGACGGTGGGGGGTGTTAGGTGTAAGCAGACCCATGCCTCGCAGATGATAGCTGGAAGTCTCTTCTAGTATGTGGGCTAAATGGATGAGTGGCAGCTCGGTCATTTTAAGAAATGATCCCTTCCCTTTGCTATGGTGTTATGTTCTCCATCCCCCAGCCCAGGCGGTCCGTGGCAGCCAGCGCTTACTTCTAGCAATGCTTATTGTGCAAAGCTTCAAAACAGCACGTAGCCACCCCATCTGCTGCAATGCAAGACCCACGGGCTGCTCGGGGGGGGAAAGCTGTCTGTCCGTAAGGTCAGAGAATAGTTTATGGTGTCCCTATCAGGGTATATTGGAGTGCAACTTCTGGAACTGCACCAATAAATACAAATACTGTATTTGAGCCGCAATTACTGCACTGTAGCAGCGCTGCTTAAATGTGTAACAACACATCTATGGGGGGGAGCGTGGAATTACACAGCTCATTCACTACACAGGTAGGAAAAATTGCTCTCCTCGTGTGTCTCCTCTATGGCTCAGCTGGGATTTATTGTCATAACTAAATAATTTTGTACCAACAAGTAGCCATTTTCTCCCACTGTAACTTTAAACACTGATTTGGAGGTGGAAAGGCAGCCCTGAGATCCCTGTGGCTGTTTCTCTAACCTGTGTTTCCTTCCAGCACGGCAGGCAGATTCCTGGGTTAGTCTGGAATTCCCAGTCCCCTCTGCTCCCAGCAGCAGCCCAGGGGATGGTGACAACCTCCATGGCTGCTCTCTGAGTCCTGCCCACCAACAGACAGTGAGAAACTCCTCCTTTTCCCTGGGATGGGAACTTTGTCTCCTGCTATCTCCCTGTTTTCATTTTTCCTTCCGCAATAGTAGATATCCATAGTGGAAACAAATCTGTGAGGGGTTGGAGGCATCTCAGCAGCCTTCCTGGGGGGAGCAGCCTTCTTGGCACAAAGAGCGTGTCAGGACTGAATGGAGATGTAGCTGGTGCTGGCAGGAGCTGGGCTTTGTCCTTGGGCTACAAACAGGGTCTTGCAAGTGCTTCTATAGGTTGTAAAGGGAGGGCTTGGTCTTTGGGCTGGGACTTGGGCTCCGCCGTTCAGTTTTGGTACTGCCCCTGCAGCTGCTTCACAGCTTTCAAGAGCAACAGCCCATCTTTGGGCAGCAAAAACCTTCTTGAAGCCAAGTATTGGTGTTTCTTGCCTTAATTTCTCAATCTGTTGGTCGACTGTCGGCTGAACAGGAGCCGGCAGTGTGCCCAGGTGGCCAAGAAGGCCAACAGCATCCTGGCCTGGGTCAGGAACAGCGTGGGGAGTAGGGCCCGAGAGGTGATCGTCCCCCTGTCCTGGGCACTGGTGAGCCCCTCAAGGGCTGTGTCCAGTTTTGGGCCCCCTACCATAAAAAAGACATCGAGGTGCTGGAGTGGGTCCAGAGAAGGGCAACAAAGATGGTGAGGGGTCTGGAGAAAAGGAGGCTGAGGGGAGACCTTATTGCTCTCTACAACTCCCTGAAAGGAGGGTGTAGAGAGATGGGGGTTGGTCTCTTCTCTCAAGTCACAGGCGACAGGACGAGAGGAAATGGCCTCAAGTTACGCCAGGGGAGGTTCAGGCTGGATATTAGGAAAAATTTTTTCACCGAAAGGGTTCTCAGCCATTGGAATGGGCTGCCCAGGGAGGTGGTTGAGGCACCATCCCTGGAGGTGTTCAAAAGACAGGTTGATGTAGTGCTGGGAGATATGGTTTAGTGATGGTGATGCTTCTTGTTTGTTGTGTGGGTGTCTATTTTTGTCAGTCAGGTTGATGGTTGAACAAGATGATCTTTAAGGTCCCTTCCAACCTAGAAGATTCTGTGATTATCTCCTTTCCCTATCCACAAAGCAGGATAAATGTCCTTCTATCTTCACCCTTTCCAGCTGTGTCTGGTCGAGGAGGTTGCTTGTGGGCCACTCAGAGCTTTGCACAGGGGACACATTTTGCCAGGGTGTCATCCTCCAGCGTGGTTCTCGGGCATCCCCGGCGAGCTGAGAACGCAGCTGGCTTGGGGACGGGGTTCTCGCAGGGCTGCTGTTGTCGCCGGGTGGGTTAGGATTTGTTTGTGTGTTTTCCCCTTCTTTCTAATTATGCTGATATTTCCTACTCAACAGCTGTAGTCTGGGAAGGAGAGCGGGGAGCGCCGGCTCCGCAGCTGACAACCGCCTTGTGCCTTGGCTGCGTGTCAGCACGGGGCTGGTGCTGGCTGGGCTACAGCCACGCAGCCCTTGCCTCCAGTTGACCAAAAGGTTGTTTGGAGTCACCCCCAAGGTAGCCCCCTAAATAAATAAATAAATAAATAAATAAAGTATTTTCCTGGTTTCAGTGGCAGGAACTACCTGGCGACCCACTGAGAATTTGTGAGAAGGACTTCTCCGAGGAGTGAATGGGATCTGCTGTAGGGCAAAGCTCCCCCCAGATGAACACTTGGGTGATTTTGGGGTAGATGATGCTCCCCTGACTCCTGCTCCTGGATTGTCTCTTGTCTGTCGGTCTGTGTTCCTTTGTTTTCATCCATCTGTTTCTGAGGATTCTGAATGTGCTGGTTTCACAGCACCCATCCTGCCACATGCCCTCCTGGAGGAGCATCGAAAAATAGTCCTGGAAAAGTTTATTTTCCAGAGTCCTTCATCCTCCATTGCCTGAAGCCCAGCTCCAGTGTGATGCTGGCACTAAAAAAGGCCTGGGTTGAGTGATCAAACAGTCTTTTGGGCCTTAAACTATAAATTTCAGAGTTCAATTAATGATTTGCTGCTCTTGTGATTCTGCAGTAAAACCTGTTTTATCTTTTATAGCAGATCCATGCTCTCCTGACTCCGTTTTCAGGGGTCACTGTCCTAATTCAGGAGCTCTTAAATGTCCCTGATAGCTGCTTCCAATTTCCATTTCCAGCAGCGCAGAGGGATGGCAGGAGCGTCGCGCTCCCAAGGGAGTGGAGGGGTGGGATGCCGGAGCTGAGCACAGCCCTGGCATCTCCATTAATGTTAAACTTGGCTTTGGAAGTCGGTTTTATCCCCGCTCCCGTGTGTGAAGATGAAAGTGATGAAGTTAATGACAATTTACACCTGTTTGCTTCAGGGAGATGTGAAGATCTATTTGTAAAAATGCGTTTGCAGGTGCCACGTGTCCCGAATTGCTGAGTGACGGGCAGGAACGGGGAACAGGCTGTTGAAAAACCCAGTGAGTGATGCTGGATGCTGCGTCGTTCCCGTGTGGGTGTTTGAGGTGTCAGCCTTCAGAGCCCCATTTTTCCCTGGCAGCATTAGACACAAATTATCCCCTGCTCTGGTGATTTCGGGCCATTTGCCAGCATAGAGCTTTGTACCGAAATCTTCGGGCCGGCGTAATTGGTTGTTTTTTAATTTCTTTCCTTTTCTTTAAGCAGGACTTCAAATGCTACAGCTTTGCCACAGGGGTGTAATTACATAAGCCATAGAAATGTGCTTCACTGACCAGTCAAATGACTTTGTTTTTGCCAGTAGTTTAAGCTTGCCATTTATTAAGCCGTTGAAGGAATATAATTGAAATTCATTGGGGAGTTTAATTTTATCAAGCCTTCTATAACGGCATGCTTTTGCTGTGTGTCTGTGTGCATTTGGGTTGCCTATAAATGGCTTGTTTGCTTTCATAAAGGAATTAGCACAAAAGCACAGCTGTGTGAGGAACCAACCCCTGATCTCTGCCCCGCGCTGGCTGGGGAGCAGAAGTATTGACATAAACACGTGCAGAAGCAGCCTCGTTGGTAGAAAAGTTTTACATTTTTATTAATTTTGCTGCAGTCCTTTGCTTTATTCTCTTTTTGAGCACGGAAAGATACTGGAGGTCTAACACAGCCAAGGTTTTAATGGCTGCTGTGGGGATGCTCCTGTGGCCCTGGCTGCTGGGTGATGTTTGCCGCTCTGCTGCGCTCTGCTCCAGCCCCATCGGGCCTTATGGTCAGTGAGAAAATCTCCCCCTTTGGCTCCCTTTAGGGCTTTTCAGCTCTGTTTTGCACAGTTCCCAAACGGGGAGCTTTGCAGGTGTCAGCTTCATCTGGGGGCTGCCCCCAGTTTGGTGCAATGGGGCTCCACGGAAAATCAGTGCTTTGCACTGCAGGGAGTCCTCTGCAATCCCACTTGGTCCCCCACTGCAGCCCCCTTTCCTGCAGCACCCTGTGTGTTCCTGTCTGCCCTGAGACCCTACGCCCTGTGTCCCCAGCCCCTGTTCTTCCCACACGTAAGTGGTGAGGTCCGATGCTGCTTTCTGGCACTCCAAAATCAGGAGGGAGGAGTCGTGGGACTTGCGCTTCTTTAGATGTGGCAGGCCTCCTCCGCCGGGATTTCTATAACAAGCAAATCCGGGGAGGAGTTAAAGCATCACTTGTCTCATCTCAAGACATGAAAATAGCAGGAACCTTCTCCACCAGCTCCCGTTCTGCGGAAAATACTGCCTCGGCATTAAAGCCCGAATGGAAATCTGCCGTCTGTCCTTTCTGTGGCTGTCCCGGCTTTTAGGTGTTGTGGCTGTTCTGCCCTCCAGGAAATTGGTGTGCTGATCATGCATGCTGCTTATCTGACTGCTGCTAACTACGTAATCACCGCCATCCCCATGGAAACGCATGAACTCGGGGCTTTTTTTTTTTCCTGTGCATGATAGTGCTTAGTCTGGATTTTGATGCTTTGGGGACTGTTATTCCTTAAGCCAGTGACTTTAGCTGTGAAAGGTGAGCATGTGGGCAAGTGCCTGGTTACGGAGAGGTGGGCAGCAGCTCGTGCTTTGGGTTCTTTTGCTGATGGGGTGCAGGTGCTCAGCTTTCACCCCGCTCCCTCGCAAGCGGGGAGGGCAGGAGGATGAACACGGTGGGATGGGTTCAGTTCTGCTCCACACGGGAGCCGTGGGCTGGGGGAAGGGTTGCTGTGTCACCACGCTAGGTTTTTTGCTTAAGTTGGACTTTTGGGCAATTATAAAGATTTTTCTCTGGTCTGACTGAATCGGTTCTTGCTGCTCTCCTCATACGTCTGGCATCCCTGCAATTCTTCACTTGGGAAAAACCAGGCTGATAAGGGGCTGTTAACATGGGCTGAGCCCAGCAGCACATAACGTGCTTCTCTGCAGCGTGCTCTCCCTGCCTTTGCTTTTAATCAAACTTCAGTGTCTTCTAATTGCTTTCTAGTGATTGTGCTCCACTCTGTTGACTCCCATCCTTGAAAGGGCTCAGCCCACTCAGTTTGCACCAGAGCTTCTGGGCTTTTTGGCAAAGTGTCACCATGCCAGACTTTCTCAAACTTTTATTCTGAGGTAGATGTGAAAAGGAGCTCTCAGAGCACAGGGACTGGCCTAAGAGCACACAAGAAACCTAGAATGGTAGTGCAGGCAGCTTTGAATTCTCAAATTTGATCTGTAAAACATGGGGGGGTGTGTGTGTGGAATTCCCTTACTTCAGTCTTGTTAAGGATAAATGCATCAAGGACCATTCAGAAAATAAGACACTGCAGTTCTGTTGACCATATAAATACATTGCATTTCAGGCTTGGGGTTGCTACTGTCAGAGAAACAGGCTCCCCGCATTCTTGTCACCTCAAAACATCCAGATGTTGTGTGTCGACTGTAGCTGCGGTTACAGAGAGTAAAGTTGGTTTTTATGAATGCCTTTTGTTTGAGAATAGTGCCATAAGCACACGAGCAAACCTGTCTGCTGAGCGCAGAGCAAAGAGGAAATTTGGGGGGGTTATGCCATACCTTGAAGCTTTCTGCTTACTTAGTAACTGTAGTTTGATTTCCACATCTGAGACGGTGAAAAACACTGAGTGAAATTCTCGGGTGTAATTGGGGACAGAAGGGAGGGCTTGTTAAACAGACTTTTCCTCTGTAAAGCATCAGTTTCGGGGGGATCTATTGCACTGTTTAGAACACTGTTACCACTAAGTCATGCTTATAAGAAGTTTTGGAAGGCCAGGAGCGTGAACACAGTTAGTGAAATTGTTAATCTGTTCTGTTCTATGTACAGGGGTATTTGGGAACATTGATAACCAGGGGGATCTCTGGCCACCCGTGGCTGGTTTTGCAGTGGCCGTGTGCTCTTTCACCTTGGCTTACTGGGATGTTTAAAGTCGGGAACAAAATTTTCACATGGGAGTGTTCAAATCTGCACTTAAAACAGTGAGTAGGTTGTTCCCTCCAGAGGTGCTGAGCCGCTGCAGCTCCAGCTGATGGTAAATTATCTGTAGTTGAGCATTTTGGAAGCTGCTGAAGGACTTGCAGGCAGAGGTAGGTCCCTGCCTCCAGGCAGTGAAGTTGAAAATGCTGGCCTGAGTTCCCGAGGCAGAGGAACATGAATCAAGCAAGAAGTCAAGCAGGGCAGAGAGGGGAAGAAGTTCCTGGTAGATGTAAATTTTATGGGAAATTAACGCGTTCTCCATAGCCGTTCTTAGGGCAGCAAGTCAGCAGATGTGAGCTCCTGTGGCGTTAAACCAGTGATAGTGATTTGATGCTCAGGAGTTAAGAGCGTGGCTGGCTTGTAGCTGGGCATTGCATTGATCTTAATTGATGGGCTTGTTCCAGCCCAGTGGATCACAAGCTTTTGCTTCTGATTTCCCCCCACCTCCACAATGGCCTCATCCTCCCCTCGCTTAAGTTGGTGACAAAACTCTTGCTCTCTGTGTGCACAATAAAATTACTGAAGATGAACCCTTTCCTACCATCGTGTCAGCCTGCCCGGCCTGTTCTGGCTGAGTTTGTGACAGGGGACAGGGAGAGGCTCCAACTTTTGGTCCCTGTTGAATCACCTGCAGCACAAATTTGTGGAAAAACTGTTGTTAACCAGGAACGGAGCAGTTACGGTCTTTGGGAGAGTGAACCTTTCCCACTGTTTCATCAAACAAAATGTGTGCCTGAAAAGGAGCAAAGCTCCTCACACTGAGCCTGCCTTGATTCTGCCTTGCTGGGCCTGCCCTGTCTGCCAGCACGGTGACAAACAGTGGTGAGATGGGGCCACGAGGAAACGCTGAGTTGTGGAGACCTGCAAGTCTTGTCTTATCCGGCAGCAGGAGAGATCTCTGAGAGAGAAAGTGTACAGGTGAGCACTTGATAATATAATAGGCTTTGTGAAGCAGCAGGATCCTCAGAAATGCCCTGGTACGTGCCTTCATTAGTTTCCTCCTCCTTTGTAAACTAGGAGGTGAACAGTGGGATGTATTGGGAGCACAAGATGCTGATGCTTAGCCTGGAGGCTAAGTCCAGCACTACACTGAAGTACAATACAGCATTATTATTTCTATGCAAAAATATGCAATAGTTACATTTTAAAGCCGTAACTGAATGTACTTGGAAACCCTTATCCCATCTATTGCTTCTTCCTCTTCTCCCTGTCTTGTTTATTTTTTGCCACTTGCTCTCCTTTATGCGCACAGCCACTTAATTCTCTCTATGGGCTTCTTTACAGCACACGTCTGTCTTGACATCAAACTTCTCTTACTTAGGGAAATACTTTGGCTCATGAAGATCTCTTGCTCCCAGCAATATAGTCTCCCTCCTCAAAGATCTTCAGGGTGTTTAAATGGAAGAGATATCTTCAAGCAGTTTTCCAAATCTCCAGTGCTAATTGGACGCTCACTCAAGGAATTATTTGGTAAATGAAAAAAGCAGTGCTATGGGCTGGTCGGGCACGGGGAATGGGTTAGTTGTTCCGTGGGGACAGGGTAGTGTTTGCTCTCTTCCCTCCCTGCTCTTCTATGCGAGATGAGAGTTAAGACTGTTCAGCTACAGGCTTGATTCGTGTTGAATATGAACAAGAAACAATTACTGATGGAAGATAAGCATCTTGATATGCTTGATATGTTCCAATGATACTGTTCCTCTGGAGCTGACCTTTGACTCCATTAGTAGTTTTGGATGTTCCCTGGATATCAGTCCAGATATATGCCTTTTTTTTTTAAAAAAAAGTAGTATTAATTTTTTTTTTTTTGGGGGGGTGGCTGATATCCCATTTCCTACCTGGAAATCTGTGAATTTATGCTAATGTCAGCCTCCAGCATTCAAGGTGCATCAAATCTCTAAATATGCACGCAATTTGGCATCCTGATTTTGAGCTGTGGGTTAATGCTCCAGGATGTCTCTCCACACCTGTGAAGTCTAGCTTAGCTTCTTCATTTTAAAGGGGCTTTTTTTTTTTTTTTTTGAAATGGCATGTGATTACATGAAAATTTCATCTGTTTCTAGATATATCAGCAACAAGGCAGTCATAAGGTTTGATAATCAAAAAACCATGCAAATTTGATAGCATGGTGCAACAACAAACTGCTGCAGTTTGGTAAAAGTGTTGTGGGGAGCGTTGCTTTCTCTGATATTTCCCTCACTTTTATGCCGGGGTGTCAGCAATTTCTGAGTTGCTGGTACAAGGTGGAGACTGTCTGGACACATAGGGACACTAAGGTACCAGCAGTCTCTGGAATTAACTGGATTTCTTTTCTTAAACTTGGTTCTCGTTTAGTAATACACCAAGGCTTTGCTCCTCTTGCCTCCATGCTTGTTGAAATTGTCTGATGCCTAAAATATGACCCTTCATGTGTAATGTTGCCTTTGGTTTTGTAACAAAAGGAGTTAACTTGGTGACTTGGTCCAAACCGTGGACTTCTGACCTGTGTCTTACCTTTTATTTCTTTTTCTAGCAGCAAAGGCAGCTGATATTATTTAAGTTGGTAATAATATCTGAAGCATGCCTGGAAATATCTGATAAGTTGCTTCATTCTTTTGATAAGGGAGCGAGGCAGAGAAGAACAGAGCTTACTGTAAAGTTTATTAAATGGCAGAGCACGTTTAATCTTCCCACCCCACACATTCGAGCCAGAATTCAGCATTTGTCATCAACAGTGTCCCCGGCAGCATTTCTAAAAACCGATTTGTCTTCGCCACAGCAGGTTGTTTTTTCCTTTCTCAGATGGACACAATGGGTTGTTTGTTCTTGCTCCTTGGGCAGCTGAATAATATGTGCACAAACCCACCTACCCCTGTGCTTCAAAATCGGGAAAATCAGCAAGTTTTACAGCTCCCCATTTTGACAGTATGGCAGCGTGCTGTCAGCGCTAATATTCATTAATATGCATTGGCAACTGCTTGTGTTTTGAAATGAAGTATTCTACAATTCCCAATAAAATGACAGCTGAACGTAAAGAAGTTGCATCTTGAGGGACAGGTATATGAACACTTAGAGCATGTACATAAGCTCTCATATGCCCACTGTCGAATACTTCTCTCCTTATCTCTTCCCCATGCCTTAGCACTTCAGTGCACTTTATTTAAATGAATTTTAAGGATGATTGCAAACTTCACGAGAGCTGAATTAAAGTCCTGAATAGATAGGTTGTCATAAAGCCCTACCCAAGTTGTAGTAGCAGTAGCAGAAGCCATAATGTGTTACCCCCAACTGCATACATTTCGTATTTTCTGGCTTTTCTCCATGATTTTAGTGTTTTACCACATCTACTGAACTGTCTCCTGAAAAGTAAAAGAAATTGGCTCCTTCACCGATGCTGAGTGAAAGACTTGCCT